AGCATTGTATGGTTTACGACAAGCTGGTCGCCAATGGCACAAGAGATTAAGTGAAGTCTTGCAGAGGTTTGGACTCACTTCGGCTGCAAGTGATACTTGTATTTATTACAATATGAGTGAAGATCAATATACAATTTTAGTCGTCTATGTTGATGATATAGTATATATATCAAAGAATAAGCAGAAGCTAAATGACATTAAAACTGGTCTTGCGAAGGAATTTGAAGTGAAGGATCTAGGTTTAGCGCGACATTGTTTAGGAATTGAAATTAATCAAGAAAATGGTGAAATTGAATGCCAATATCATGGCGTTCGAAGAAACAGCAGTCAGTTGCAATTTCGTCTACTGAAGCCGAATATGTAGCCTTGTCAGAAACATCTCGTGAAGCTTTATATTTGCGAAATTTAATGTTGGAATTTGACTTTATCAAAAATAAATCTTGGAACTGACAATCGAGGAGCGAAGTATATTGCAGAAAATGCTACTTGTCATTCACGCACCAAACATATTGCCACGAGATCCCATTTTGTACGTCAATTGGTGAANTTTATATTTGCGAAATTTAATGTTGGAATTTGACTTTATCAAAAATAAATCTTGGAACTGACAATCGAGGAGCGAAGTATATTGCAGAAAATGCTACTTGTCATTCACGCACCAAACATATTGCCACGAGATCCCATTTTGTACGTCAATTGGTGAAAAATGATGAACTAACGTTGAGATATGTACCAACGGAGATAATGCCTGCTGATATTCTCACCAAATCTCTACCAGGACTTGCACATTATCGTCATGTACAAGCAATGGGATTAAAAATTTGTCAAAACGCAAAATTTGAGAGGAGCGTGTTAAGTGAATAAATCAAATTTGCATTTTTATGCCATCTGTGTCACTTGACCGTTACTACGTTCCGCTATTATTGTTCCTTTTTTTGATGTAAATATTACTGTCAATTAATAAAAACGTTAATAGGAGATTGTATTAATTTAATGAACAAATACTGTTATAATCATAGTTTAATTTTGATAAACGTGTAAAAGTTATCACTGCGAAACGTTATTTTTTCATTCGATAAAAAGTTTATTAAACTATTAGCACTAAACTTATTTTCGTTTCCGTCAAGAATTAAACCATTTTTGTAAACGTTATAAGTGCTATAGTTTGTATTCTTCTGCCAGAGAGGATGAACCCAATGAATGCGTCGGTTTTGCTTGTTGAGGTTAGCAAGATAAAAGAGCTTCCTCATCCTCTTGACTACATTTTTTAAGCTGATAATAATCAATACTGCAATAGCACTGCTTACCATTTTGGTACGCATTAAATCTCTTTGACACCACTTTGCCGTCATTCCACTGCCATACCACGTTCCATACCATTCCTATACCAGATGTCATTCCTTCACCACACCATACCACATTACTGCAGTGCGTGCCTTACCTCAGCAAGACGGACGCTCTTTCTTACGAGTTTGATATGTAAAATACTAAACCTGTTTATCCTTTCAAAACTATGCATGTAACTGTTTTAAAGGAATATAGGTATATTTTACATTTTTCCATTTTTTAAAATTGTTTTTCCCAATTTAGTGACATACTACATAACAATGCGTTCAAAAAACATGTTCAAATGTAAATCTTATAAAGTGCACGTTACCAACAATAAACTGGTATTATCTGTAGTCATCAAAAGATCACTGCAAGGATATAAGTCTTTCATATAAGATCTTCAAATTCTTAAATAAATTGCGCGCAGCAAAATCTGAGAGATAGTCGTAGAATTCGTCTTAATGCACACTTTTGTCCTTCTGGCTTTAATCCTGCGAGATTATCACGCATTTCAAAGAGCTTGGGAAGGACTATTCGTCTATGTCTAGTTATTACATGTGGATACGTACCGTCAAAACAAAGGTGGCTATTTTTAATATACATAACGAACGCAACTAATACAACTTTCGTAAAACATGAGTTTTTGAAAACTAAAAATTTTCCTCGCAATATTAATACTTCACTAAGCCCCTTACCTATAAGAATTAACTTTACGCAGAATATTACCGTATCACATAATTTTCAAATAGAAAAATTTTCCTAAGGAATAAGTGGTTAAATTAAAAACTTTTAGTTTTAGAAATACAAGACTGAGTTTGTCTGCGTATGTAAACCGCACGGAAAACGTAAGTATTCGGTTATTTTGTCGAATCGATAAAAATAACAAATGGCATAGTGGTGCATAGTTTTAAATCTGATTCAGCCGATAAATCCTCAATACGATTCAATTTAACTACCGTTTGGAATAAATTATCTGTCGTATGTCCAGTGTGAACGGAAGGTCACGGTTCAAACCCATCACTTCGCAGTAACACACGTTTTAACAAAAAAAATATGTGGTTCTTAAACTGGAGTCAAAAATGCGTGTGTGTTACAGTAATGAATTGATGAACAATATAAATACATAAAATAGAAAATGAAAAAAAACATTATGCATAACAGCAGTTTCATAACATTCGTAACCCAAAATAGATTATAACGAAATAAATGTAACACAAAATATATCTATTAACAGAATTAATAATTTGGTCTTAGTATGGTCAAGTAAACTTTTTTGAAATTATCAAAAACCCAAATTAAGTCGTAATTTTGTCACATCTTCAGGCTGAAAAAAGATATAATATTGTTGAATATTAACGATATTGCATGGACTAGATGTAATATATTCAGCAACCCAAAGAGCAATAAAGTAATAAACAACCGAAGGGACAGTTTCTTGACCTGCAAGTACAGAGGGCACCGAGGACCGACCGACCACCCAGTTAGTTAGTTCTTTCCGAGCATTCAAACACGCCGCGTCTACTTTCGATATATATTGTATTTCTGTATTAGTCATTTATAACAATTCTTGTTTTATCAATAAATAATTGCAGTTATGTGTTCCAAATAAAACGATTCATTCCACTCAACAGCATGTTAATAATTAACTTATTATTAACTTATTTTTATAACAATTGCCAACAAGTATCTACATCATAGAATAAAATTATTTTCAAAACTATTACTACAATTTCTATTCTATTCTTTATTCTATGATGTACTTACTTCCAAATGTTGGCAACTGTTATAAAAATTAGTTATTTATTATTACACAGCCACACAAAAAAAAGTTGTCTGTACTTTTTATGCGACATAGGTTATCCGTAGTATTTTTGCCTCCTGATCATGATTCTGGTGTCAGAATTGAGCTATCACATCTCAGGAATTTCCTAATCTGAAAAAACAAGTCAAAAATAGCAAAAATTCATGAAAAAGTACTACGAAAAATACAAAAAATTTTTTCTATATTTATTTGTATGGTTAAGACCCCTCTGAATGTGAATCCGCGGTAAGAATTGATGGTCTTTTTCTAACCTCAAAAAAAAAGGGTCAATTAAGGTTAGATATTACGAATTTTCAAAAAATAACACATTCGCGCCAAATTTGGTATAAGGGGGTTTTCAGTGTCGCTCATCACGAATTCGAGGTCAATTTTGTGAAATTCCAGATGGCGGATTCAAGATGACCGACCAAATTTTCAAAAAATTACACATTCGCGCCAAATTTGGTATGCGGGTGTTTTCGGCGTCACTGATCACAATCAACTGACAACTTTTTTTGTGTGGCTAACGTGATATTGTATTAATTTGGCAAATTTTAATGTCTTTATACCTTATATTATTAAATACATAAGCTGAAGGTGTAACAAAATTAATGTCATGAAATTAGTTGCGATTAATAAAGCTGCTTAACAAATAAAAAAATGTGTTTGATAAAAAAAACAAATCTCTTATCAGCAATCCGTTTCAGTTTAAACAGTACTATTTATTTGTTTGTCAGTTGTTAAACGGGAAAACTAGGTATCGACTTGTGTATTTATCTATTTTTCGCATACTTTATCCAGTTTTAACCGTAATAGTACTAAATATGTCTATATAACTTTATGTAAATATTTGCCTATTACGTGTTAGTGTGAACTGATGGATTTGAAATCTGACTGGATTTTCATATTCATAGACCATCCATATGTGAGCTTTGGAACATGAGTTCGAGTATACCTCATTTTTGTGATACAGGGTGTCAATATTCCTGAAAAATAATCTACTCAAAAACTTGAGCTGGTGGCTCGAGGACGTCGTCAATAGGAAACACAGATTCCATTTGATTATTGTGTTTCAAAGAATAAATATCTCTTCTATGCGAAAAAATTATTATCGAGTTATTTCTTTTTTATACCATATAAACTTATCACATAGTTGAATAAATCGATAATAATTCTAAAACTGTTTCATAAGAGAATTATAGGAACTTTTTTATTACAAATACGGTTTGAAAAACATTTGTGATCCTGAAAAGTTCGGTGACGTAGAAGTTTCGAAATTTTTGGATATAGCGTAGAATTTTCTAATGATCAATCACTTTAAAAACTGCATTTGCAACAAAAAAATCCACTAACAAAAAATAATAACTGAAAAAGTTTAAATTTTTGTGGTCTGTTTATATTATTTTCTTTTTGCATTTCTAAATTATTTTTAATAGAGAATGGGCTTGAGAAATATTGTCGATGTTCATTAGCACGAAATCGAATTTTAATTTCAATCATGGGCCCGAACGCATGACCCCTCGAAAGTCCAGGTGGTAGGACAGTACACACACTACTGCGGAGTCACCTGGCTCAACGTTGTCGCTCACTCCATGGGCTTGATACCCCATACTGCTTCCATGACAGCGACAACCATGGACCCCGTTTCGGATCCAAGTTTATGGAAACTTTTTTCTTAGGATAATGCGCAAAGTGGCTGACTTTTTACCTTGTTTTTAATGTTCTGTAATATTGACAATTCAAAAGTTCTCCAACAGCTTCAACGCTTCTCCTTAATCAGTGTTGATAACTTTGACTTTTAAAATAATCTCTTCTAAAAACGATTCATTTATTTCACAAGCATATACTTAAAATTATTTATTATTTACAGGGAACTGAACGAACTGCGTAAACCTTCCTCGGATAATCCTGATATCTTACGGTTTTTCCGTTACATGAAAGCAGCCAAAGACGGCCAAGATGGCGAGGAATGTCATGCACATGGTGGATGTCCTTCGCTCACTGCTCAACAACCTAGTCCCGCAATGCTCACTACTTTTAATGATATAAATAAGTTGGTATTAGCTAGAAAGTTTAATTAAATTCTGAAAAACCATCTGAAATCAAAATTTTCTATGGGGAAATGTAGAAAAATCGAATTACTGTTTCCATTTTGTATTCACTAGTTGGTTGGTGAGGTTGCATAAATTTACATTGTACGTTTTAATTTAAATTAAAACAAAAATTGTAGAATGGAATTTTGGCTATAAAGTAAATTTTTTCCCATTATCGTTTTTTTAACTGAAGTCTAATACAATACAGTATTCCAAAAAAAATACAAAAATTGACAAGAAAATAGTAGTAATAGTCGTTTAGATGATTTCGAAGTGCAATTGTTCAGGGCCTGTTAATTAGGTTCTGAAAATTTTCTTGACGACAACAACAGATAGCTCTAAATTGCCTAATTATAAAAAAATGGTGTAATATCATTTACAGTTGTACAATTATAACTACTTTGCCCTAAATATACATTTATAATCATCAAATTCATCAAATAATTAAATTCTTTAATAGCAACCGTACAAAATGAACGGAAAATAAATCTGTATTTCTGCTACGCTTTAGAAAATATACTACAAGATGGCAATGATATATTAAAGGTTATTAGTTACAATTTTATATTATCCTCTTATTTGAAAACATTTTTCTTCTTTCCCATAGAAGGGTAACTGTTCTATTTATTTATTTATTTATTTATTTACTTATTTATTTACTCATTTATTTATTTATTTATTTATTTATTTATTGTATTTAAAATTTATTGTGGTAATGGTTTTAAAATTTTGCAGTTGAACTGTCAACTGTTGCAGAAAAATATTCAATATTTTCTTGACCGTCAATAATAGACTGTTAGATATAAGAAAGTGTTGAGAAAATATTTTATATTTCTACTCAATACTTATTATTTACTTACAACTATTGCCACTCTAAATAAAATTTGGAATTTATACAATCTCTGTTTCTTAAATTATGTTATATTTAAAGTGATAATTTAAAAATACTAGTAACCACTTGCACTGTAGATTTATGCACTATGTATTTATTTATTACAATAAATCACTCTACAAAAATGTAAACATAAACTTATTAGCTCCATCGCTCTATGAACCTCAAAAATTAAACTACCTATGAATATAAACTCTCTCTAATTCATTTGTCTGAAAATTGCTATATTTTGAGTAGAAGTAAATAAATCAAGTTGCTTCTTTACATCATCTGTAAAAACATAATTCTGTATTCGAAAACTAAGTATTCTGGAACATTTATGTAGATATATGTATAAACATATCTGTTCTCTTAAAAAGTAAAATTGGTTATGAAAATTTAAAAGTACTCATACCTCATTTTATTCCGTGGAATACCAAATAGTGTTTTTATTAACACAGGTGCCAAGATACTTTGTTTTCAAGGTGTATGGTATTTTTTTCTTGTAGGTAAGTTAAAAAAAATTGTATACAAATATTTGAGTCACTACCAGAGATAGTGGGAGTGCCACTACTTTTATTTTTTTATTTGTTTGACCAACAATAAACCAATTTACAGAGTGACAATTATTTTAAAAATACGTACCTAAATGCACAAAATAATAAATAAAAATAATTGTGTTTAAGATGTATTAAGAGATATAGTTAAGCCGATTTATAGATTGGCGACTAGCCAAAAATGTCCAAACTTTCTCAGAAAACGCAGTAATGGAGTATTTTGAAGAACTATCTGAGAAATATAAATCTTCGACGTTGTGGACGATTATTTCGATGCTCAAGTCAACGTTAAGTGCCAATCACAACATAGATCTTGGAAACTATAAAAAGTTGCAAGCGCTAATCAAACGAAAATCCGAAAACTACGTCCCTAAGAAGTCCCAAATCCTCACAGAAGATGATTTTTGCCGGTTTTTGACGAAAGCATCAGACGACAAATATTTACTTATCAAGGCGGTGGTGGCAGTTGGACTATCTGGGGAAGGGAGGAAATATGTTATCTCAAAATAGAAGACACCAAAGATTTCGGCAATGCTATGCTGATTAAACTGAAGAATACAAAAACAAAGGTACCAGGGTGTTTTACAATTACAGAAAACCTTTATACTATCTTAAAAAAGTACTGTGCTCTTCGTCCTCCTAATCTGAAGACAGGCAGGTTTTTTTAAACTATCAAAACGGAAAATGATCAAGCCAAAACGTTGGCATCAACAAAATTGGAAACATGGCTAGGGAAATCGCCAAGTTTTTGATTTTAGAGAATCCAGATAGTTACACGGGACATTGTTTTCGGCGTTCATCGGCCACAATTTTAGTCAATTCTGGCTCAAATCTGCTTGCCCTCAAACGCCATGGAGGGTGGAAATCCAGTACAGTTGCCGAAGGCTACGTTGATGACTGTTATAATAATATGTTATAATAAATAAAATGGAAGTTTCGAAAAAGATAGAGTCTTCAGTGTCTTCTGCTGCCACAGAACCAGAACAACGATCTTCCACTGGAATACAACAAGAAAACAACGACCGCACGCTGAAAAACTGCACTAAAAACACGACACCAAAAATATTCTCTATCACCGAAAACAAGGTGCACAATAATACTGCTTTTCCCAGCGTAACCTTGAAGCAATGTTCAAATGTTACCATGAATATTAAATATTAGTTTCTTTTGTTGATGCGTTAGCAATTTTTTTAATAAAAATGAGTTAAATCAAAAGTTTTGCTTAGCCAACAGTATGCGTAAGGAGGATAAGAAACGTTCTGTCGAGTTGGAAAGGAATGCTCTGACTACTTAGTAAGGAATACTCTGTTTATAGACTAGAGTAGTCTGCTGTTGTACGTGTTAACAATAACAACATAAGCGGCAGCACCAACAAGATCAATAACAGCAATAACAATTACATCTAATCTAGGCAACGACTCTGATAACGCTCTTAAATCTTGTTACTTGAACTGATTTGCTTAGCCAACAGTATGCATAAGGAGTATAAGAAGCTTTCTGTCGAGTTGGAAAGGAATGCTTTGATTACAACAGTAAGGAATCTCTGACTACATAGTAAGGAATACTCTGATCATAGATTTATAGTAGTCTGCTTTAGTTGTTACTGTTGCTGCTACTGCTGTTGTACATGTTATTGCTGTCGTTGTTCCTGCTACTGCTGCTGCTTCTCGTGTTGTTGTTTTTGTTGTTGTTGTTATTGTTGGAGCAGCTGTAGATCAATAGCTATAATAACAACGACAACAACAGCAGCGGCAACTACAACTACTACAGCTGCTACTATAACTGGCAATTTTAGTAATAAAAACGATTTAAATTAAAATTTGATTTTTGTGGTCTCTGTTTGCAGTCGTATAAAAAGTATCGTAAAAAACTCGTTTGAAAACCTCTTTGCACACTCGCTCGACTTGTGGACCTCGCCTTCGGCTCGGTCCACCAATATCTCTCGCTCGTGTGCAAAGAGTCGTCTTCAAACCTTGTTGTTTAATATACTATTACCATGTAGTAACTTAAAATGATACCTCAAAAAATCGGATAGCCATTTGACATACCCACAGGTATTATTTATTACTTAAAACACAAAGACCGCTGTAAATACTTTAAACAATTTTTTTTGTTTTTTGCTTTATCATTTTTATAGGATTCTTCCTATATGTTGAGAAAATATATTTTTTTATAGAAAATAAGTTGATATTTCAAACTTTCTGTTTTCTTAAAATCTTCGCCTATAAAAAAGAATCTAGAAAAAGCAAATATATTCTTAACGACCTCTATATTCTAGATAAAGGAAATAAGCTTATATTTATGTTTGGCAATCGCAAAAAATATCCTATTCTAAGTTTTATTAAAATATAATTAAAAATGACAGTTGACGTTCAAGAAATACTTTAGCAAAATGAAAATCTTAGCCGGCCTGTAGGTAACTTTTTAAGAATGCATTTTCGTAGTGAGATATATTTGGTTGATTGCTTTCCAAATAAGAACACATTAATCTAAATCATATTTATTAATACCTAAAACTGTCTTATAATTATCCAAAGAAGTTTGATGTTCTTAAATCAAAAAAAAATATACATACCTTAAAAATAAACCCAATATTTGTCTAAACTAATTTATCTCATGTTAAAATTCAACATTATTTAAAAAGTGTCTAATATGTTTTTTTTTTAACTGAGGAAGCTTTGATAAAAAAATGACAACTTGATACACAGCAAAAAAGATTTTCTTACAAAAATCGATGAAATCACTTAAACTGTGAAAATTACAATGAAAATTTTCAGGATGCAATAAAAAAATTTTTATACCTTTATAAGGCATTAACCGGAATGCTAATGACATCCTGAAAAATTATACTACGGATTTAAAAAAACTGTACAGATTTTATTGGAAAACATTTAACAGTAAAATATATATGAAATTAAGAAAATTATCTTATTTCCGAAAATTTTAGAAATATCCAGTTACATCTATTTTAGATGAAAAGTTTTTTTCCACTAATATAAACCAAAAAATTGCAGGTTATGGAAATTTTGTATAAAAATTAGATTTTTATTTAACCTTATCTGTTTTTTACCTAATTAAGTTACTTTGTCATCCTAAATATAAGAAGATATCCACACGTAAAAAGTTGATTACATTGCATGGAAGGACAAATAAAGGACTTCGTTGAATAAACTTATAGTCGTCTGCCCAAAAGTACAATCTGACACTGAGAAAATGGGTAATTATTCGTAATCTCACTACATACGCTATAAAACAAAGTTCATTAAAACTTTTAATCTGAAAAATATAATGTACTAAACAACGGAAACTTAAGAAATCTAAGTATAATACAAAATAAGTTTTAAGTATCTTATAATATAATTACGTATGGATACTAAGGACAGTTTTTCATATAAATAATTCTCAGAATATCTCCATGAAGTTACATTCTTCCAACATGTATTCTAGAGCGCGTAATAAAGCTAATATGTCATATTTACTCGATAGCGATCGGTCTCTTCAAATAATATGTAGTTGACAATATAAAACATTTAATAGATTTCCTGGTCCTGAACCTACAT